CGCACAAAGTCCGCCTCAGCCGACGGACTGATGTTCAGGCAATTGAATGGGTGTTTCTTATTCATCATCCCCTGTATTGGCTCGTTCTCGACCGTCAGTCCCCAGAACTCAATGCCCGCACTCTTGTATGCGTCCAGAAATCTGCGGTCAAAAACATTTTTGTATGCTTTTAGTGGTTAGGGATGTGTTTCGGGGGGTAATTGTCGACAAATATAAAGATATAAATTTCAGTGACCGGCACTTACTTAACAAAATAGTTGGCAAAAGTGTCGTAATACTGGCCCCCTATCGGCCCCCTAAGGGCACCGCTTTCGTTGAATTTGTGGTTGTCTTTCATCCACGCCGGGGGCGCCCACGGGCTACCAAACAGACGGAAACCGTTAGGGCTGACCGATTGGGCACGTTTTATGTATGGGATCTGTTGGCACAGTCAATGTTAGAGAGACTTAATTAAGTAATTTATAATTACTGTTAATAAATAAGTTTCCAAAAAATAATTGACACTTTGATTCAAACGCTAAACTTCTTAACTTACAGTACAATGTGTGACATCTGGTGTGAGGTTTTGGCGTAAATTGTTAAATATATCATTTTAATAATTACTATAATTTACTAATTAATATTGCATTTAGAAACATAATTACACTCCATATTCATTAGCGGTAAATAATTTGCACTAAATTAAACTAATCACTAAAATAATTATGAGTCAATGGTTGGACATTACCTTCAACTCCAAGTCCTCCTTCTGGAGGGCGAAGTGTTTGAGCTGAAGGTCTCCGTCGACGTCATCGTAAGAATAAGGTCTGGAGGAGTAATCGGTTCCCGCGATCGGCACTCTTGCCATCGAGTACTCCATACCATTGGCGCCGAAACAGCTGTCAATCAAAGCGTTGGCCAACGACTCGTTGACCGACCGAAACATCTGTCCCGAGACGTCCGTAAAGGCGGCCCCAAAGCCGTACAGAGTCTGATACGTGACACTCGGGTCGACAGTGATGTCCACACTGTTTGCTTTGTCCACTTTGTGTGCCGTAAACGTTAGGGTCGACTCCCGGAACCGTTGGCCCGATTTGTTGCTCTCGTAGACCGTCGCCCGACCGGCCACTGGTTTCGGTGGCGCAGGTATGTCATCGCAATACGTGGCGTTACAAACGCATACTGTGTCCGCACCCGCGATGGCACGTGGGATGCACTCACGTCGAGCCCCGACCAACACTATGTGTCCGCACAGGTGTTGGTATAATATATGGTTAGAAATAGGGATTTAATATTTTACTGTTAAATAAATTGATTTTATTTACCAATTAATAAAAGTTGTGTTGAGATCCCGAGTATTAACACTGTATTCATTGTTTTAGTTAATAACTTGTTTTTAATAACTTATGGTAACTTTAAACACCTATTTTTATACACCTGTACTGAATTATTAATAATAAAGACCAACACTTTGTGTACTCAACAGTACCATTGATAATATTTAGGTAGGTTTAATTTAACCTATTTATATAAATGTTTACACTGTACAAGTTTATCTATACTAAAATATAATATTACCGCAATTAAGTATCGGTTTATTGTAATATATTTAAGTAGACAATAAAGGAAAATGTTTAAAATCATTTAATCAAACTGCTCCCGTATTCTCTGCCCTCTCACCCCCGTTACCCCATTTAAAAAAGTTTGGTGATGGTAATAATCTGATGTATTAAAAGCATGTGTTATTTATCGCACATATAAGTAGGTATGAATTTTAGGTACGATTAATGATAATACATTATAATTAGATTAATCATGTTTTTAAAAATCGCTGAAAACTTTTCATTCAATTCCATAACAAAAATTTTAAAAAATAGTAAAATTATGACTTTAGTCTAAATTAAATAATTATTAAAGTAATGACAAATTCTATATTATTTAACCATGATATACTGACAAATAAATCAATATTCTAACAGTAATAAAGTATACAAACAAATTAATACAATTAACCCTATAATTCAAACGACAATTTATTTTAATTAAAAATTTTGCAAAACAAAACTTGTATTAATGTTTAATAAATAGACATTCATTTGAGTTAATTAACAACTTTTCAATACAATAGGTGTCTAACGAGACGTCTATTAACAGTATCACTGAATTTATTGTTAGAGAAATGTCCGCCAGTTTTAAAGGTAATCACTTTAATCCAGTCGTGACTATCGGCCAAATGATCGTCCGTTTCGATGACAGTATCGCCGGAATAGCGGACAA